CAGAGACAGAAACAAAAACAGACAGCAAGAAAAAGAGAAAAGGATAAAGAGAGATAAAAGAAAAGGAACACAGAGAGAAAGAGATCAAGGAAGAGAGAGAAAGAGCCAGAAAGAGAGAGAGAGAGAGAGTGACGGAGGGGGATAAAGAGAGAGAGAGAAAGCGAGACGTAATCACGATAGAAGTGCAGAGGCCCAGGGAGAGAGGATGGAGGAGAGGGAGGAGGAGGGGAGGGGAGGGAGGAAAGAGAGGGAGAGAGGAGATGTAGAACGAGGGGGGGGAGAGTTGGGATTGGGGTGAGGGGGGGGGGTAGGAAAGGAGAGGGAGAAGGGATCGCCCTAAAATGTGGTCGTTAGGAACGCGTTATATACGGCCGGTGACCACGAATACCAGCCAATTGACGTCTTTGCCATCATCATTAACTTGTTTGCGTAATGTGGAGATAAGAACGAAGCTGGCGAAGAGAGAGAAAGAGAGGGAGGGAGAAGAAGGGATGGAGAGAGAGAGAGAAAGAGAGGGAGGGAGAAGAAGGGATGGAGAGAGAGAGAGAAAGAGAGGGAGGGAGAGGAAGAGATGGAGAGAAAGAGAAAGAGAGGGAGGGAGAAGAAGGGATGGAGAGAGAGAGAGAAAGAGAGGGAGGGAGAGGAAGAGATGGAGAGAAAGAGAAAGAGAGGGAGGGAGAGGAAGGGATGGAGAGAGAGAGAGAAAGAGAGGGAGGGAGAAGAAGGGAAGGAGAGAGAGAGAAAGAGAAAGAGAGGGAGGGAAGGCGAAGAAGGGATGGAGAGAGAGAGAGAGAAAGAGAGGGAGGGAGAGGAAGGGATGGAGAGAGAGAGAGAAAAGAGAGGGAGGGAGAGGAAGAGATGGAGAGAGAGAGAAAGAGAGGGAGGGAGAAGAAGGGATGGAGAGAGAGAGAAAGAGAGGGAGGGAGAAGAAGGGATGGAGAGAGAGAGAGAAAGAGAGGGAGGGAGAGGAAGAGATGGAGAGAGAGAGAAAGAGAGGGAGGGAGAGAAAGGGATGGAGAGAGAGAGAAAAGAGAGGGAGGGAGAAGAAGGGATGGAGAGAGAGAGAAGAGAAAGAGAGGGAGGGAAGGCGAAGAAGGGATGGGGAGAGAGAGAGAGAAAGAGAGGGAGGGAGGGAGAAGAAGGGATGGAGAGAGAGAGAGAAAGAGAGGGAGGGAGAGGAAGAGATGGAGAGAGAGAGAGAAAGAGAGGTAGGGAGAGGAAGAGATGGAAAGAGAGAGAGAAAGAGAGGGAGGGAGAGGAAGGGATGGAGAGAGAGAGAGAAAGAGAGGGAGGGAGAGGAAGAGATGGAGAGAGAGAGAAAGAGAGGGAGGGAGAGGAAGGGATGGAGAGAGAGAGAGAAAGAGAGGGAGGGAGAAGAAGGGATGGGGAGAGAGAGAGAGAAAGAGAGGGACGGAGGGAGAAGAAGGGATGGAGAGAGGGGAGAGGGAGAGAGGGGGCAGACAAACAGAAACGCATGTAGACAGCGAGAAAACAAAAGAGAAAGACAGATAAAGTTAACTAACACAGATAGATAGATAGATAGATAAAGAGAGAGAGAGAGAGAGAGTTAGACAGTAAGACAGACAAACGGACAGACAGAGGAATTTATATATGAATTGATGTGTATATAAATTGACAAATAAACAGATAGACTGATAGATAGATACAAGACTGATAGACAGACAGACAGGCGAAACAGAGAGGGAGAGACAGACACGCGAGAGACAGACAGAGATACAGACAGGAGAGAGACAGACAAGCAAGAGACAGACAGACAAAGACATAGACAGAGAGACGGACACGCGAGAGAGAGTCAAGCGAGAGTCAGAGAGGCTAGAGACAGACAGGCGAGAGACAGACAGACAGAGAGACAGACTGACAGAGAGACAGACTAACAGAGATAAGGGCCGGCTAGAGACAGACAGACAGAGAGACAGACAGGCGAGAGACGAACAAGCGAGAGACAGACAGACACCAAGAACAGCGAAACAGACAAGCGAGAGACTGACAGACAGAGAAACAGACAGGCGAGAGACGAACAAGCGAGAGACAGACAGACACCAAGAACAGCGAAACAGACAAGCGAGAGACTGACAGACAGAGAGACAGACAGACAGAGAGACAGACAGACAGAGAGACAGACAGACACCAAGAACAGCGAAACAGACAAGCGAGAGACTGACAGACAGAGAGACAGACAAGCGAGACACAGACAGACACCAAGAACAGCGAAACCAGAGGAAGGGAAACAAAGGAAGAGAGAATCATCCATACAGAGAGGAGATAAAGGGATTAGGCATAAGTCTGAGCGTCCTATACGGCAGTTTCCATGTCAGAGAAGGAGGAGAAGGAGGAGGAAGAGGAGGAAGAGGAGGAAGGGGAGGGAGAGAGGAGGAAGGGGAGGGAGAGAGGAGGGAGAGAGGAGGAAGGGGAGGGAGAGAAGAGGGAGAGAGGAGGAAGGGGAGGGAGAGAGGAGGAAGGGGAGGGAGAGAAGAGGGAGAGAGGAGGAAGGGGAGGGAGAGAAGAGGGAGAGAGGAGGAAGGGGAGGGAGAGAAGAGGGAGAGAGGAGGAAGGGGAGGGAGAGGAGGAAGAGGAGGGAGAGAAGAGGAAGGGGAGGAGAGAGGAGGAGGAGAGGAGAGAGGAGGAGGGAGGAAGGAGAAGAAGGGGAGGGAGAGAGGAGAAAGGGGATAGAGGAAGAAGGGGAGGTATAGAAGAGAAATGGGATAGAAGAGGAAGGGGAAGAGACAGAAGACGATGGAGTGGAAAAGAGGGTAGAGAATAGAAAGAAGAGGGAGGGGTAGAAAAGAAGAGGAAAGGGAGGAGAGAAGCGTAGGGAAAAGGAAAGAATGGAGAAGAGGTAAGAGAATGGAAATAGGATAGAGAATAAAGAAAAAAAGTGGGAGGAGAAAAGTAAGAGAGAAAAGAAAGAAGGGAAAGAAGAAAAAGAAAAGAAAAGTGTAGTAACGAGAGAACAGACAAGACAGAAAGAAACAAACAGAGACGGGAAGAGAAAGCGAAGAGAATAAAAAAAACAGGGAACTGAACTGAAGCCTGAGGGAGTATTGGAGTAATTTCCCATCAAAAGAGGTGATTGAGTAAGATGTTATTGAAGTACAGATTGGGGAGGAAATGACAGAGACACAAATGAGAGATCCATTACACACTACGAGACGGGGAGGAGGTCAACCACCAGATTTCGTGCTGGGAGGAAAGTTAGACTCATTAGATGGTAGAATGGATAGATAAATTTAGCATGGAGATGGGTCGTGAGATGTATTATTATATGTGTGTGTGCGTGTGTGTGTGTGTGTGTGTATGTGTGCATGTGTATGTGTGTGTGTGTATGTGTGTGTGTGTGTGTGTGTATGCGTTTTGTTTGGTTGGTTATTCATCTGTCTAAAGAACTATAACTGGATAATATAGATGTGTGTGCTTGTAAGTCTGTATGTGCATGTGTGTGTGTGCATACTTGTGTAGATGTACTTTAAGTATATGTTCACACACATTTTATATCTATCTGCCTGCCTACTGTTCAATCGATCGGTCAATATCTTTATCTTTCCATCTACGTGGCTTCAAGACGATTAATTAAAGGCCTATGATCAGATCCCACCGCTGCCACCATTTACGACTTGCAAAGAGGTTCTTTTTTTGCTTAGGGTCTGATTTGTGGTAAAATCTTAGTTACTTCGTTGTTGCTCCTCTCTTGCTCATGAGTATTAATTCGAGAGAGAGAGAGATCAATTCAAAATATGGATATTTGTGTATTCTCTTTCTTTCTCTCTCTCTCTCTATATATATGTATGTGTGTGTGTGTGTGCTTGTGCATGCATGCATTTATATATGTATTTGTATGCATATGTGTAGATAAACTGGTAGATATATGTACAGCAGATGTATGTAGACTTGGGTACAGATATGAACATTTATACAATATATCCATATATATATCTATATGTATTTTCCTATTTGTCCATTTGCATGTGAATTAATGATTGCAAGTTTGATAAGTAAAAGCAACTAGACTGTAGGCCTATAAAAGAACAGATTGGAAGACCATGCAATATTGAGGCTAAAATAAATTAATAGATAAAAGGGAACTAGTGAGAATTTCATGTTCACTTTAAAAGCACTTTTTTATCAAACATTTTTGCTTGATCCAAATGTGAATGAAAGAATTTAATTGATTCGATATAAAGATAGAAAATAAAAATTTGAAATCCTGCATCCTTTGTACCTGAAATACAGTCGGCCAAAGGTTAGTCATGCTCAAATGGCCACGAATGAAATGGGTCACCTCTATGTAACGGTTACCTTCATAGAGTGGCCGACTGCATAAAGCGGAAGGCTACATAAAATGGTCAGTTCTATGAAATATAAATGATACGAGAACGAAGGATAACTGAGCCTGTACAAAATGATATCCGTTACGACTAGGCTGGGTACAGTGACCAGGTCTAAACCAGTAATATTGATTATCTGTATATAACGAACTTCGTGCAACAGACGGTCACCTTTATTGAAGGGGTAAATTGAACCCCTGCATAGTAAAATTAATGTTTTTTTTTCATATTTATTAATTATAGTGTGGAATAGCTAACGATACCGTTTCTTTTTTTTTTTTTGCCAAGACAGTAAGTCCTGTGTATGAGTCGATATTGTGCATGTTTCGTGCGTGCGTGCGTGCGTGTATGTGTGTGTGTGTGTATTTACGTGTGTGTGTGTGTGTGTGTGTGTATGTGTGTACATCCGTATTTTTTTATATGTATTTTTTTTTAAAGCTATCTATGCAAATAAACACAAATGCACATGTGCTCACCCACACCAATCTTCCCTCAAACAACGGCAACAGAAAACCACCAAAACGCAAGAGGTACGTCAAGAAAATAAAGCGAAATATATAGGAGACTCGAGCCAGTCCGCATTCCTCACAAAGTCCCACAAATCCCGGGTCTGGAGAGCTCGGCGTGAGGCCAGGCGAAGGGGGTGAGGGTCCTTGA